GGGGGGGGGGGGCGGATGGCTGGCCTCACTGAGCGTCTCCAGGGGTGGCCTGTCCCACTGCCAGGAGGACCCTGCTGAGAAAGAAGCAGAAAGCAGTCAGGAGCCGGATCTCCAAGAGCCTTTTAGCTCTGATTCCACATGGCAGTGGGGATGGTCTTTCTGCGAGGAGGTGGAGAGAACCATCAGGCAGTGAGAACAAATTGGCTCAAAGATGGGCTTCTTGGAAGGACTGTTGATACTGGCCAGGTGATAAGAGGTTGAAGTCTCAGGGCTAAACTGGGAAAGAGACTAATGATTGATGATGCTTAGTGAGAAATGCACCAGTATGTCCAAGTATTTCTTTGAAATGTGTGCATCCTACAGAGTTTTAATGGTAGCTTTTAAAATAAGATTTATATTGTTTAAACATGTTCTTTGTATTATCTTGAAGCATAATTTTCCGTGATGATTTATATATGTACATAAACTGCATTTTATAAGAAGGCACTTTTTTATTTAAAAAAAAGAACACATACTTCTGCATTGACCAGACCAATGACATCAAATACATGTATATACTTATATACATTTGCTCAGATTTGATTTCTATAATCAAACCTTATTCGGCTTTTGCGCTCAATTCTTGTTGATTTTCTGTTAAATTATTTTAAGGTATAATGTTCTATCATAGAAAACTACAAAAGCCGTTGTCTCAGAAGCACATTGTGCTTGATCTTTGAAGCAGTGGTGGTTAGGGAATAACCATACATGTGGTTATCAGACAGCGTACTAAGTGTTGGAGTTTAGAGAATGCCAAGTTGGGCAAGAAAGACCCGGCTCCCGCCTGTGAGAACTCTTTGTCTATTGGGGAAGCCTGATGTATTAAAACCACTATGGTGGGGGGACGAGGCTCCGGGTGATGTTAGTGGAAATAGAGGCTGGAACAGCTCATTCTCTTAGGGGAGCTGGAGAAGACTTCTCAAAGAGGTAACATTGGAACTAGATCTTGAAGGATGAATTGGAGTTGCAGAGGAGGAAGGAAGGGAGGTGTCCCGGGCAGATGCTACCCCATGAGCAAAGCATGGAAGCCGTAATTAAGGTGTGCCATGAGCACCTCAGTGTGTTTAGAACACTAGGAGGCGAGAGGGGTTGGTGGACGATGAGTCTGCAGAAGCAGATACAATCCGTGTCCTGAAGAACCTTACATTCAACAAGGAGTTTGGACTTTCTCTTGTTGGCAAGAGCAGACACTGAGCAGGGTTTTTGTTTGTTTATTTTTCTGTTTGTTTTTCTTATTTGTTTTGGCGGAAGATCGTTCTGGAGACAGTGTGAGGAATGAAGGAGAGGGCTGAGAGAACAGAGCCAGGGAGCCAGGTGAGAGGACATTGTGGTAGTTCTGGAAAGTGATATCTTTAGAGCGTTCTGGTTGTAATGGAAGAAAGGGGTGTTTATTGTGGAAAAATTCTGTGCTAGAATCAACTTAATTTAGTGACACAATCACTGTACATACTTAACAAAAACAGTCATAAATATGTCCACTCAGAATAGGAAGAAAAGACAATTATAGGTACTTTTTCAGTGGTTAAAATATTATCAAACGTCTTATAAAATTTTTAAATTCCTGAGGTGCAACTATCTTTGAGTTACAAATTTGCACATACATGTATGTCACAAAAATTCCTTAACAGCAAATTTCACTGAGCTGTTCTATTGCTAGCATGTTAGCAGTTAAACACGGAGGTAAGAAATCATTTAGGTGCACGCTTTGTTATACGTGTAACTGAAGATAGGTATTGCCTTTTCCCCTGTGTTGAATTGTTTCCACGGTGTATTCTTTACTGGTTTTCCTCTGAGAGTACTGGAGCAGTTTCACTGTTGCCTCGATAATGTGACTGTACCCTCGTGTATGTGTTTGTTATATACATGGTCTTTCTAAGGACCAAATACAGGCTCAGTAGGAAAACAAACTTTATAGCACAAATTGTATTTTGTTTTAACCTTTCAGTTCGAAAGATAATAATTTTATTAAGAGCCGAGGCTTTGATTCGATCAGTGAGGCTGATCTAAAATGAAGCAGGAGTCTTTCTGTTCTCCTTTTCCAAAGAATCACCCTGCAGCTCTTTATGTTGTAAATGATTTTCTTCTAAAGACACCTTGACAGAGAAATTAATTATTTCCAAGAGGGAAACCAAACTTTTGCTAATTCACGCACTGAGTGAGGACACCAGGAGTAAAAATCAGGGCCATGTGTTTACACTGTCTGCTGTGAAAACTCGTTCTTAAGATGGCCTTTACACCTGCCTTGGTTTGAGCAACACATTTAAGGTGTCTGAAATTCAAGCACTTTCAAAAATTCTCTTCAAATACGGTTATCTCCTGAACATGTTTACGATTTAACAGTCAGTACCTAATTCAGGTGGATAAAGTATCTGTTAAAGATAATGTGAAGAGAGAGGAAAACTCATAATGTAAGAAGGATTCCTAAAAGAGGTTTTTGAATTATGAGGAATATTATTAAGAATTGAGCCTGCCAGTAGTTCTGTCATATTTGTTGAGTTCTTTTGGAGCTGGGTCCTATGAAAGCTGGTCTTAAATTCTACTTTATTTTAGTCTACTCTGGTTTATGACCACGGCCTGACTTGGTCTCAGCCTCTCACTAGGCTGTGGCCCTTAGTTTTATCATTTCTAGCTTTGGCTAAGCCGGGGGAGACTCTGTCATTTGTTCTGAAAAGCACTGGAAAGGATCTCTCCCTCTCTGGTTCTTGACTCTTTTGAGGGTGTCTGATTTTTGATGTTTGTTAGCTGATCTGATGTATTGAGTTGGAAGGCTTTTTAAAACCTGAAGTTTACAGGTGTGGTGGCTCACACCTGTAATCCCAACACTCTGGGAAGCTGAGATGGGTGGATAGCCTGAGCTCACAGATAGACCAGCCTGAGCTAGAGTAAGACCCCGTCTCTGAAAATAGCCAGGCATTGTGGTGGGTGCCTGTAGTCCCAGCTGCTTGGGAGGCTGAGACAAAGGAATCACTCAAGCCCAAGAGTTTGAGGTTGCTGTGAGCTATGATGCCATGACACTCTACCAGGGGTGATAAAATGAGACTCTGTCTCAGAAAAAACCCGGAAGTTGGTCTCTACTGATAAATTAGCTTTCTGGGGAATAATTTTATAGATTGACAAGTGTGACTGCTGTAATTTTAGTGAACATGGAAAAATCTAGGGATCTTTGTTTAATATTAAAAATTTTAAATATATTATCTCAGATGTAATAACACATAAACAGTGGCTTTGATCACATCACAAACATTCATATATATGTAGCTATTTAATGTCTACACGTTATGGCTGTCTTTTGGTCTTCTCAGTTATGAGGAGGAGATTGGGTTTCGTTCATTTGTAAAATTTCAGCCAAACTTCCGTTCGCAAATTGAAGTATCGATATTGCATGTTAACTTTGACGCCCCATGCATTTTTGCTCTGAAATAGGCCTTTGAAGGAAGTTGCAAGGAAACATCTGATTGTTGTTTTACAGATGAGAACTGGGATGATGACCAACTACTTGGCTTTGAACCATGCAATGAAAACCTTATTTCTGGCTGCAATATAATCAATGGAAAATGTGAATGTGACACCATTCGAACCTGCAACAATCCCTTTGAATTTCCAAGGAAGGATATGTGCCTTTCAGCTTTAAAGAGGATTGAAGGTAAGCATCGATTTTTGTTAACTATCCAGTCATGAACCTTAGCATGGTGTAACTCCGGACAACAATAGTATTTGAACTTGAAAAGGCAAAGACAAGCTTGTAGATATTGACAGCTCTTATAATCCCAATGAAAAATGCATAAAGTCGACCAGGTGCTGATGTGTAGCTGTGCATGTCTCCCAGAAGCCGTGGAATGGCAGTGCTGTGGTCGTGTGAGTAGGGTACTTTGTGCCAACCTGCCTGGGTCATCCTTGCGTAATGAATGATTTCATGAGTGGTGAGCGTGAAATCAGTATCTGCTGTCACCAAGTCCATTCTGCTTGATTTACCTAAGGTTGGTGCTCCATGAGGAGAGTCTGCTAATTAGAAATTCAGCCCATCTGGCTGGAAAGGGTATTTCTTTAGAAGAGGAAGGAGAATTGTGCAGTGATGATTGAAGGTTCAGGCTGATTTTGCCCGCGGGGCAGAGGGTGGGGCAAGAAGCACATAGCGTATGGATGGATCATTAGGCATTTCACCTCTGAAGAGATGTCAAGAATTAAAGTAACAAGAAAATTACATTAACATGGCCTATAATTTTTGTACATTCATGTATACAACCTAGAAAAAAGATTAAGAACTTGACAATATGATTTATAGTCATAGTTATCATGAGTGGAGTACCCTGTGCTATAGCTCACAATAAATTGACACGAGGTGAGGCCTAACTTGGGTCTTATCCCTGCCCCTTCCCAGCATTAAACTTCTTAGCCCCACTTTCCTCTCGGGGGGAAACAAGAGTGGGGAGTGAGATAGTTTTTAAAAATACCTTTTATCTCTATGAGGATGTCATTATAAGATGGAAAGATTGATAATACAGTTTAGAGTACCGAGGATTGGGGCAGCACCTGTGGCTCAAAGGAGTAGGGTGCCAGCCCCATATGCTGGAGGTGGCGGGTTCAAACCTAGCCCCAGCCAAAGAGTACCAAGGATTCAAGAGGTCCAGAAATAAAGCCTTATAAGGGCAGTAGAGCAAGAGTGAAGTTTCTGAAATGTATTATATTTCCAAGTTACAGTAAATGGTAATGAAGAAGAAACTTACAGTAACCTATCAAATAACATTTTTCTCTGTATTTACCAATGCTGCTGACTCAAAAGAGAATGGAGTGGAAAACAATGGAAATAAAAACCTAGAACTGCAGAGGATCTTAGGTAGCACTGAATCCAGTCCTTGAATTCTGAACACTGGAAACTGTCCTTCCACACAGTTGATGAGTGACAGGCCTAGGACTAACCGGGCCAATCATTTGTCCAGCCACAGCATGACTTTAGACAATACGGTCCGTCACCCAACTAATTTCCATTGTCTGCTTGCCCTTTGCTCCTCAGCTTCATTGTCCATCACCAAAAAGTATTTTGCAAACTTCAGAATATAAATAAAGATTTAGAGACACAGAAGATGTGGTTGCATGTCTATTTAATACATTGACTGCCACATTGAAAAAAATTTTTCCTTAGGGCCATGGTATTTTATTCCGTCAAGATAGGTCAAGAGGTATGTGAGTTTTATGTGCTTCACAAGGCCCCAGGCACCAAGCTAACATTAATTAAATTCAACTCTTATAGCATTTAACGTGTTAAACAGTTAATTTGCTAATTTAGTTACTCATACGTATTTTAAATCACATTTTATAAAATATTACAGCAATTTAGAATTATTACCCTTTGCCATTCTTAATATTCAGCGTTTTATTCATACATTTCAAATGCCTCATCCTTGGTGTTCCTGTCTCCGCTAGGCCCCTTCCAGGTCATGTAACGCCCTTCCCGGGCACACCCGTTTTTGTTCTCTGCCATCTGAGTTGTGTGGGGTACAGCAGATTTTGAATGATGCTATCCATAGGAAGTGTTGTCCCCAAACCCAATGTCTATTTACATAAAATTAGGACTGTTGGGTTTTTAATTAGGTAGGTTTGTATTTATGATCTTTGCAATGTGCAGATAAACTTTATTGATTTTTTTTTTTTTTATAAAGTGGTTCTAAAAAGGCTGTTTGTGAGATCCAGCACTTCGAATTTTGAGGTCATTCTCACAGGAATAATTACACCATCTGATTATACTTCTTTACCTTTTATTTTTAAACTTGTTCTATCAGATGGCCTATGTGTAATACAAATGTGGACTCAGTGGAGTTCATTTAAAGTTAACACAGTTTCTACAAATAGTGCTTTTATTATGCAAAATAAAGCACCCCGCAGTATGTAAGATACTACAATAAGTTGGGATTGGGGGTTTCCATTTTTCTGAGAAACAATTTTGAAGGCAAAGCCCACTTATGATTGGATATATATGAAAGAATTAGTGATGGAACTGTACTTATAAATAAATCTTTAATAGTGATGAAGACTTGGAATGTGAGAGGAGTTTGGAGCCAAGAAAGCCTGACGTGGCATTGTATGATCGGGTGGCATAGAGGGCAGGGTCTGAACGATGTAGAGTTGGGATAGTGATGGATTTCAGGAGGGAGAACAATGTGGAGAAAAGACTAATACGTGGAAGTGAGAGTTTGCGTGATTTATATCTGAGACACTTCAGGGACAGGTCTAAAAAAGCAGGGTTTTATGTTGATGGGTAACAAGAAATCATGATGAGCTGGGGAGGTGAGAAAGTTACCAAATAGTGAAATATCTTGAACATTGTGTGGGGAGCTTAAGCCTGGCAACATGGGCTGTCAGACGTCATTGTGGGATTGTGGGCGGAGAGAAGCAGAGAGAAGATGATAAAGTCAGCATTAAGCAGACGGGGCGAGTGGTGGGACGGAAAATGGATTAGCACAGGGGAATTCTGCAGTCAGGAGACTCATCGGGAAGCTGTAATTTAAATGTGCCGTGAAAACTGGAGTAGAGTGGTGGCAGGGAAACAGCAAGGAGTAGATGGATACAGATCGCTGGATGGCAGAAGGTGCAGTATCTGCTAATGGATGAGGGAGGGTGGAAAAGTCACCCAGGTGATTTCTAGGGTTTCTAACCTGAAACAGAATGATAGTGCAAGTCACGGTGGTGGGAAAAGTCTTTGGAGATTTCTTGTGATAAACTGGTACTGAACGTTGAGAGGGATATACGGTCAAGAGTGACTTAAAAAAACATGGGAGGTATTATAGCATGCTTGAATGATGGCAAGAACGATGTAACAAAGAGGAAGAAGACAATGGTACATAGAGGAAAGGCACTTGTGGGCAGCGCCTGTGGCTCAAAGGAGTAGGGCACCGGCCCCATATACCAGAGGTGGTGGGTTCAAACCCAGCCCCACCAGAAACTGCCCCCCAAAAAGAGAGAGAGAGAGGCAATTGGAGGAGCAAAGTCTTTGAGAAGCCACATGGTTTCTGTTTCTCAGAGGAGTCTGAAACAAGGTCATCCTCCCATTGAGGAAGAAGAAGGGGGAAGAAAATGTAACTATACACCTCAAGGGTAAGGAGGAGTGAATTAACTGGGGAAGTGGTCTCGTCTTGGTGCTGACAGCTGATTTGAGGCTCATGGTTACCTTCGAAGAGAGGCCGGCCAGCATAGCTCCGTGTTTTCCTCTATTTCTGATGCAGGTGCGGTGTGGGTTGAGAAGTAGCCAGAGCTGGGAGTTTTCCTGACGAATCTGGTAGGAGGGAAGAGAGGGGCTCGGGGATTGATGGTTATACAAGAGGATGTTTATGGTGGTCAATCGTGTGATCTGTGCTGGGAGGCAGACAAACCGTGAGTGATGTGGTCAGTGGAGGGGGGTCCTGGTGGGATTGAAAAATTATTGGGGCTGAGCGGGATAGTTAAGGAAGCAAGGAGGATTTTTTAGGAAGAATACTTGATGACAAGATTTGTATTGGTTGTGATGAGGGCTGAGAATGACCTTGGATGGTGTGGTTGACGGAGGAGGAGTGAAGAGCAAGGTTGCTAGAGTGTGAGGTCAGACCACTAAGCCAGGATGGAGTGCCTCTGCAGAGACTAGATGCCGAGAAGGAACAGTAGTCCGGGGGTCGGGTGGGGGGAGAGACATTGAGACAGAAGTTGTGCAGATAAATGCAACACCTACATGTAGCTGCTGCTGCGTGGTGTAGTGTGATTGTGTATGTTTCCAGTGAACAAGTTTCGTTTTTTAAAGGGGAAAGGGAAGAATGATCTGAAAGTGGCAGTGAGAACAAAAAGAACCCCTCCCCCACTCCCAGGATCTCTGGAATACGGGTGATAAAGCCATGAGCATGTGAGAGGACTTCGGGGGAAACGAGGAGCCAGGGCCTGCCCAGGTTTCACTTAGTGCAAGAAAATGAAAAGAAGATCCAGACTGGAGAATGAGGACAGAGGGGATTTTTATTAATGACAGACTAGAAACAGAAAAGGATTTGGGAAGGAGGATTGTGTGGGGCATGGGTGATACTGCAAAGCCAAATATGGAGAAGAGTCCGGTGATGATGAATGAACTGGTAAATTTAGACTTGCTGCTGGTGGTCTCTTATGGGACGGTGAATAGTTAGTTCTAATTAAAACCTTCTTTTGGACACTGTTCCTTTGGGCGGTTTGCACTATTAGTGAGCTGTGCTGGGTACAGGGCAAGAAGCATAGTATTCTTGGCAGAACATAATGAGAAAACACATGTCTCCATTTCTGTGTTTGGGGGATAATGCTGAAGATGAATTCCAAACATAGCTGTAACATTTTAAAAAATGTGTGGAAGTCATTGGAGGGTATTTCAATATTTATAGATTTATGAAGAATACTGGCAATTTCTGGGCATTGGAAAAGTTCCTGTGTATTTCTTACATTTGTTTAAAAGGAAAGAAGTTCGTCTGGAGTTTACTTATTCTTTTCTTTCTTAAAATATACAGACATAGCACTGTAAAATCAGTTTGTCAAAAGTTTAGAGGAAGTAGGATAACTGGACAACAGTGAGCTGTAGCTTTGTGCAGAAATCGTTTGTCAGAGTAGTCTGTATTTTGCAAAGAAGAAATCTGATAAACCGACTGACCTGCAAGGCCTCTCACT